CCGCCTTCTGCTATGGTCCCCAGAGAGCATCCATCCCTCTCTCCAACTCTCAGTTTACATCAGGGATGACAAGTTATCCAAAGTGTCTCCCTTCCACCCCTACTACAGGGTTTCTCCTCTTTGTGTGCTTTTTTTTCTTTAGTCATCTTTTCCCTGGACCCACATCCCACTAAACTGTGTTCCCTTCCTTCCATTGCCTTCCTTATCAGGACCCTGAAACTGAGATTCAAAAAATGACCTGCTCTGGCGGGTTCCTTCCCTCAAACTCCCATCAGAAGCAACTTTCTCTAGGGGGTGAGTTCTTGGTCTCTAGGTCAGTAATTTCCAACTGGTGTGCCATAGCAAACTCGTGTGCTGTGAAAGGATCTTAGGTGTGTTGCAAAAAATTTTAAAGATCATTAATTGTTTGCGAAAGAAGTTCAAAGCATAGTAAATATATATATTTTTTTCTCTCTTTTTTTGATCAATATAACTTAAGTGTGCCGCGGAAGTTTCACTACAGGTTCAAGTGTGACATGAGATAAAAAAGTTTGAGGAGCACGGCCATTTGGAAATCTATGCTGTAAGCTCCCAGCCGATAAATAAAGCCCTTCCTCTTATTAAAAAAAAAAAAGTTTGAAAAACACTGTTCTAGGTTCTCTCTGGACCTGGAAGTTATTTTCAGGCACTAAGCTAAAGTCTTTACATGAAAAGCCTTTTAGAATCTTTTAAATATAGCCAGACATTGTGGTGGGTGCCTGTAGTCCCAGCTACTTGGGAGGCTGAGGCAAGAGAATTGCTTAAGCCCAAGAGTTAGAGGTTGCTGTGAGCTGTGAGGCTACAGCACTCTGCCAAGGGCGACACAGCGAGACTCTGTCTCAAAAAAAAAAAAAAAAATCAGGCGGTGCCTGTGGCTCAAAGGAGTAGGGCCTGGTGGGTTCAAACCCAGCCCCAGCCAAAAAAAAAACTGCAAAAAGGAAAAAAAATCTTTTAAATAACCTACAGAGCTTAGGTACTATTATTATACTCATTCCCAGACAGTTTGAGTCAAACCTAAGAAGAACTGGCTGTTAATGGTAAGTCCGGGATTTAAACTGAGGCTTGACTCCAGAATCAATTGTATGGATTCTGTTCTAACAGTGGTAACCAGTGAAGGTTTAGGGAGTGAACAAATAGGAGAAAGGAGAGGAGGGAGAAAACACATGTTATTTGAACCATGTGAATGTATTACTTAATCAAAAATTAAATTTATAAAAAGATTTCTTTTCCTTTTTTTTTTTTAAATGGAGACAGAGTCTTACTTTGTCACCCTGGGTAGAGTTCTATGGTGTTGTAGCTCACAGGAACCTCAAACTCTTGGGTTCAAACAATCCTCTTGCCTCAGCCTCCTGAGTAGCTGGGACCACAGGCACCTACCACAACACTTTGCTCTTTTTAGACACAGGTGTCTTGCTCTTGCTCAGGCTGGTGTCCAACTCATGACCTCAAGCAATCCACCCACCTCGGCCTCCTAGAGTGCTAGGATTACAGGTGTAAACCACAGTGCCTGGCCTATAAAAAGCTTTTTAAACAAAAGGAGGTGGGTTAGGAGCAGTTGATTGTGGTTGGGAAACAGGTAGATCCAACAAGCCTCCAGAGAGTGGCTGAACCTGCTAATGTGGGCACCAGAGGGATTTTTTTTTTTTTTTTTTCCGTTTTCTCTTTCCAGCCAGCACCAGAGGGATTAATCATAGATCCCAACTGGTCAGAACTCTGAAAACTGCCTCAGATCCAAAATGACCCTCTGGCTGCAGATAGCACAAATCCAGCCTCACTGCTGCTCCTAGTCTTGGATTTGCTGAGATTATGTCTCCCTTATTGTTCCACAGGTATCCTCTCAAGAAAAATACATTTACACACTTACTTGAGTTAGCCCCTGGGTTTCTTCCTCTTAATCCAGTCTAACAGAACAGCTGAGGAAATGGCCTTCCCTGGAGTTGGGCCAGAAGGGTAGAGGGAAAAAAAATGCTCTTTTTTTCAAGAAGAGTGGAGGACAGGTGTCCATGAGAGCATCATTTATCCTCTTGAAAGGGAGTCAGGCACTAGGCCAGGAAGGACTTGATACCAGTTTGGGGTTTGGAGTTAGCATCTTGTTCCCATGACTGCAGGTTTTCATTGAACTCAATTTCTTTCCCTTACCTTGAGAAGGGGCTGCTTGGTTCTGTTAGGGGCATCATCCCATTCTGAAGCAAGGCTTGAGGGAGAAGATTCCCTAGGCAGAGAGTGGGTAGGAAGTTCACTCAAGGAGAAGAAAGCAAGCTGATCCTTTGGGATTCACAGTATCAGGAACCCCCACTGGTAGGCTTGGGTCTGAGAGGGTATTTGGGGTCTGAGTAATGGAAAGCTCAACCTGCTCACTGCTTTCTTTAGACTATTCCATGTCTAACCCAGAGTGAAGCACACAAAAGATATGTCATTATAGGTGAATGGAATTAATGGCGAATACTCCAAACTTTACCTCAGATGTCCCAGAACTCAGAAAACAGGCTAAAGAAGAGTCTTGATACTCTGATCACTCCTCTCTCAAAGCAGTCCCCACCCATATCACTCCCAGAACAGCAAAAAGGAGCTAAGGGACATGTGTGGTACTTCATTGGTGCTTTATTATACAGAAGAATCCAAATATTTACATCTTAACAATTCTTACATTTCATACACCTAGAGAGGGCATGGGACTGAAATTAGAAGTGGTTAGGGGTGGGGAGTGATAGGTGGAAGAACTCATTAAAACAGAGCAGAGGTAGTTAGAAGAGGTGGTGCCAGATAGGATCAGGGTTCTAGCTCTCCCATGATCCTCACTTACTCAGACCTACTAACTGTCGGCAGCTCTTCATTCTTCCCCTCCCTTACTCTTTAAACGTTTTATTCCTGGAAAGAGAAACTAGAAGGAGGTTGGGAGCTAGAGGAGGGGAGAGGAAAGCAAGAGGAAGGCCCAGCCAGAGGTTCTGTTAATACATAGTCTTCAAATCTCAATTCTGATATTTTTCATCTTTTTTTTTTTTTGAGACTGAGCCTCACTTTGTTGCCCTCTGTAGAGTGCTATGGTGTCATAGCTCACAGCAACCTCAAACTCTTGGGCTCAAGCGGTTTTCTTGCCTCAGCCTCCCAAGTAGCTGGGACTATAGGCGCCTGCCACAGTGCCTGGCTATTTTCAGAGATGGGGATCTCGCTCTTGCTCAGGCAGGTCTCAAACTCCTGAGCTCAGGCAATCCACCCTCCTCAGCCTCCCAGAGTGCTAGGATTATAGGCATGAGCTACCATGCCCAGCCCTGAGCTCTGATACTTTTGGACTTTCCTCTTAGGGTGTTCAGAGGTACATGTAAAAACCATGGTCTACCCTAAGAAGTTCTGCACAAATCTGAGAGGAGATTGTGGTTGGCACCAGTTGCCAAGGCATAGCACATAGAACCCAAGACAGTACATAGTAGCAGTTCTCAATAGTTCTACCTCCACAGTCCCCTTGGGTAGAATTCTCCCCAGGGACACCATGTTGGAAGATTTTGCCAATCAAATAAAATGCATTTACATGCACTGAATATTTGGTGTTTGGTTTCAAGATCAAAGACATACACAATCTTCATAATCTACTAATCATACTGGAGATAACCAAAGGAGTAACATACTGATTTGCTAGAATTTCAGTCAAAAACAAAGAAACTTTACTGGGCAGCCTTATTTTAGGTAAATGTATAAGATAAACTAGATTTTTTTTGAATAATGAAAATTATTCATGACAAATACCTCCACTCCCTATCCCCACTCTTCTTTGACCAGAAAGCCAGCAGATGCTACTCTGATCAGCAGATCCTCGGACTTTTAGAAGCAGGTAATAAGTGCTACACTAGAGCTTTTTATTGAAGCATTGACCCCTTTTTATTAAAGAGGCTACCTGTAATCTACAATACATGGCCAATGTGTTCCACATCAATGCTGGTTCCCCTAACTCCCACGACAACAGTGATCACATAGCAGGTGGGGGAGTGAGGAAGGATCTGGGGTGACTTTTTAGAAGTCAGGGTTTCCCCAAATCATAACTATTTTGTCATCCCTGAGGCATCTCAGAGAACTTTCTGTGATAAGAGTCACCAAGTCTCAGTACCCAAAGTATAGCAAACCCTTTCCATCACGGGCTCTTGATTAGCCCCGGAGAAATTGGGAGATCAGGAGCTTTCAAAGAAAAAATCAATAAATAAATCCACCATCATTTAGGGAATGACCACTCTGAAACTGACCCCATGCTAGGACCCTAAGTTTCAGGGATTATAAACTAGCATATTCAGCTTCAGAGTCTAGTAGACTCCAACTCAACTACTCAGACAAGATTTAGAAATGTGTCAAGTTCCATCCATGGTCTCTGCCTCATCCCTCTATTCAAGATATGTTGACCTATGTCTGAATTTCCACTAAGAATTGGGGCAGCAGGGAGATAGTGGAGAAGCCAAGCTGCAGAAACTGGAACTAGGAAACCAGAAGGACTTTCTTGGGGGAAGTTTTAATGGTGGAGCCCCTTGGGGTAGGGCTGGCTAAAGACCATGCCAGAATTCAGAAGGAGGACTGTGTTCCATTTGGGTTTGGGAGTCTAGACTCCTGTCCTCCTGATGGGGCTGATTTTAGGGTGCTCTGGAACAAGTCTTGCCCTTTCCTGCATCTTGGATTCTCTTTTTACATCTGAAAGAGTCACGTTATATGTCTGCAAGGTAACTACCCCAGCTCTTACCTCCTTACCCAGACATTGAATGTGTATGTCTGTGTGTATTTGGGGCTGGGCAAGGGACAGGGTGCTCTGGAAACACTCAGGGGCATTTGGTAAACCATAAGGTAGAAAGATCATGAGGAGAGAGGCAAAAGGATCAGTTTGTTGACCTGGGCAGAGTCCTATGGTGGTACTCAGGGGTCCCAGATACCTCCAATGTTTCCTAAATGCAATACCTACAATTAAAAATATCCCTCCTCTTTCTGGCTAAGGTCTCCCTGTCCCACAGAGTAGGCAGGACCTGAGATGGGAAGGCAAGACCTAGCTTATGGCAAGAGGTAGAAGGGGGCATCTGATGGTGAACCATAGGGAGGCAACTCAGTGCCAGAGGGAACCCAGATGGCCACAGACTTCCCTGTATGCATCCTTCCAGGATCCAGGAACCACACCCTCATCCTTTCTAGGTAGGAGAAGATGGCTAGAGTGTTGAGAGTCTTTCCTGGTTGATGGAATTATTAGTTGCCTCTGGCACTAGCTTGAACTCCTAGAATCAAGGCTTTCAGGAAATGGTGGCATCTTGGGATGTCACTGGGTGGCACAGAGATGAGCTCTCTGGGACGGAACAGAGCTAAGTGCTGTGACATTAGTAGTTAGTTCATGAAAACCACATAAGCAAACAAAAACCTGCCATCAAATAATTTGGGGAACTAGGTAAACCAAGGTTCAATATATTTTATTACTGAAGGAATTCTCAAGATCTTTACTATGCTAAAACATACTGCGAGTCTTGGCTTGGTGCCTGTAGCTCAGCAGCTAGGGTCCTAGCCACATGCACCGGAGGTGGTGGGTTCAAACCCCGCCCCAAGCCTGCCAAACAACAATGACAACTACAACAACAAAACAGCCAGGCGTTATGGTGGGTACCTGTAGTCCCAGCTACTTGAGAGGCTGAGCTAACTCTTAAGCTAAAGAGTTTGAGGTTGCTGTGAGCTGGGATGCCACAGCTCTCTACGGAGGGTGACATAGTGAGACTCTGTCTCAAGAGAAAAAAAAAATACTATGAGTCTCTAAGAAAGGGACACAAAGTATAATCTCTTCCAAAGTATAATCTCCAACTTATTTTAATAGAAGTCTTTTTGCATGGTGTATATCAAGATTAATGGGACAAAACACATTGTATATCCTATCCATGAGTCAAAGGAGAGATGCCTAAATGCCTTTGGTAGTCCCCTTCCAAGCCTTTCTCTGTGAGGTCTCCCTGTCCACTGTGCCCTGATCCTGGGCCTGCTCAGCCCCCAAACCTTGCACTGTCTTTAACTTCCCTCACTTCCCTTAAGCAGACAAATTTCCAGGTCTCTGGTCCACAGCTTCAGATATACCAGGGAAAAGGCCCAGCACGAAGGTGAAGCTGAGGAAGGTCAAAGGGAAACAAAGCTAAGAAGCACTCACTGGTCATGGTCACAGGAGAGAGAAGACCAGTGGAACCAGAGATCGGACCACCTTACTACAGATCACACTACTGAGTTTTGGTTGTATTTATTTTATAAGCAGCCATCATTCATGGGGGGAGGGGAAGGAAGAGATGGAAAGAGAAGAATGGGGAGGAATTATAAGTGTGGGGCAAAGGCTGAACCAGAAGGCCGCAAGCTCCCACCCACTGATGAGGCTCCAGCTGCTGATGAAGCTCCCTCTGCCCTTAGCCACAGTTCTCCATCCATGGAGGGTTGTGGGTTCCCAAAGAGGGTCCCCTCTCGCTCTACACAATGGCTGTCCTCTGGCCTGGGGGTCCCTGGCTGCTGACAGATGAGGGTCACTGAGGGGAAGCCATAGGTCTCCAGCCCAGGGGGCTGTCCAGCTTCAGAAGCTTCCAGAATGATATCCACATCAGAGAATGCCACCAGGGCCTGGGTGGAATCGCAGGAACTCTTCTCCAGCTCACTGGCTGCAGCATAATCTAGGGGCCCTGGGGCCCCTGTGTGCGGCCAGAGCCGCCGAAGGTCATCCCGGAAGTGGGGGTTGAAGAGTAAGTAGAGCAGTGGGTTGAGGCAGGCAGGCAGGGGCAGCACCACAAGCAGGACAGACTTGACAGCCTCGGGCGTGACAGGGAAGAGGCCCAGCATGGAGGCAAAGCTGAGGAAGGCCACGGGGCAGTAGAGGAGCCCGTCTGCGAAGATGAGCCAGGCCACATGCCTCACCATGGCGCAGTCCCACACGGCCTCAAAGTCGCCCCTTGGCAGGTCACAGTAGAGTTTGATGTAGGCACCGGCTACTACCAGGAAGCAGAAGGAGTTCATCATCACTAAGGCCACGGCGAAGCCTAGGGCTGCTGGCTGTCCCTCAGGTGGAGCATAGGGCAGGCAGAGTGGGGAGGCCCCATATTCTCCCACTGAGGCAAGGGGCAGGGCTGCAGCCAGCCCTGCCAGCATCAGGCAGCCCAGGGCCCCTGCTCGAACACTGCCCAGGGAGGGGGCCTTCCCATAGGCCCGGACGCAGGAGACAGAGACACTGCACTGCACTGCAGCCAAGGTAAGCAGCAGCACGGAGGCCTCGGACCCGAGTACTGCCAGGAAGCCAGTAGCCCGGCAGCCCAGCCCCATCTCCCAGCGGGCTCCATACTCGGCAAACTGGCCAAAGGTCAAAGCATCAACTGAGGCTAGAAGGCCGCAGGAAATTCCAGTCAAAGTGTTGGCACCTGCAATTGCACCTACCACAAACTTGACTGGGGGTAGGGTGACAGGCCCACCGGCAAACACGGTCAGGAGCACCAGCCCATTACAGAGCACGGAGAGCAACACGATGGCCCACACTGCCAGGCGGATGCCCCAGCTTTCAAAGAGGTGCTCACAGGGCTTGAAGGGGCCTGTAGGAGAGAGGATCAGACATTATCCCTGGACTAGAGGCTGCTGATACTGGGCCAGCCTCTGTACTCAGAGACCTTGCAATCAAAAGATGAACATAGTCTACCCTCAGAGAACTCTTGGCCTGAGGGAGGCTGACCTGTTCTCTCATCTCAGAGAATGCCCAGTTGGGGGTGGGGTGGGGAGAACAATGGGCTATACACAGCTCTTCTTCCAATGAGCTGCAAATGGAATAAACACTGACCATCACCCCAATATACATAGCAAACAGAAACACATATACAAAATTAAATAAATAAAAAAAGAAATACATATAAACATACACACAGCACAAATCAATATAGTGCAAACCCAGGCAGTGAGAAAATGTTGAAGCAGTTTCTCCAAAGAAGTAACAGTTAGAAGAAAGGAAAAGACAGGATGGCATAAGGAGTAGAGTTAGGGATACAGGATGGAGGGCTGAGGCACTGCTGCGGACCACTGCCCGAGGCTCTGTTTCTCCCACCCACTACCCAGGGATACACTATGGATTCCACTATGGATGCGCCCTGGCCAGATATCACACCAGGATGGCTCTCCCTTGCTCTGTGAGAGGGATGCAGACCGCATTTTTTTTTCAGATTACATTTAATATTCATCAGTCAATCAGTATTTGGGAGGCAAAGCATACCAAGTCAAGTCCAGTAATCAAAATACAGATGACTTTGGGGTTTTCCAACTTGGGTCCACACTAGATAGGGAAGATCCCGGTGTTTTCCATCTCTCTACCCAAAGTCTGTTGTGAAATCACCTTGTAACTGTGGATACATTCATTTTCATCTCGTTGGCCTTCAACCCTTCGATGTATTGTACGATCTTTAATGTATTACAAAGTAGCTTGGGAATTCAAGAGGCTTTTGTGGAAGCCATTTTTAAAGCTCCCCTCCATTACCAAATAATAGATGATAATTGTAGAAAATTTGAAAATATCACATGGTAAAATTAAAACTGCTTATGACCTCTCTGTCAGTGAAACCTCATTATTTTGGTATGTTTTCTTTCAGTTTTTAATATATATATATATATATATCTTTAAACGAAATGGGGATTTCGTTGTCACTACAGTTTGGATGCAGCATGTCCCCACCGACATGCATGTTGAAATTAGATCCCCTAGGTGGCACTGTTGGAAGGTGAGGCCTAATGGTAGCCTTTGGGTCATGGGGGTGGATCCCTCAGGAATAGATTAATGCCACCTCTCCGTGGGTGAGTTCTAGATTGAGGGAATGGGTTAGTTCTCTGGGAGAGAGTTGTTATGGAGGTTTTCTCTCTTGCTTCCTCTCTTACCAGGCGATCTGCTTGCCCACACTTACACCCCGTTCACTTTCTGCCATGATTTGAAGCCCCCTGAGGCCCTCACCAGATGCAGCGGATCAGTCTTTAGCCTTCCAGCCTATAGAATTATGAGCTAAAGAAATCTCTTTTCTTCATAAATTATCTCCTTCCTAAAGAAACCTCCTTTCTTTATAAATTACCCAGGTCTCAGGTGTTCTGTTACAGCAACACAAAACAGACTGACAAATGCATAAAGCTTTTCCATTCTTTTTAAGTTAAATTTTTTTTAAGTTAAATTTTTATTATGCAGATTTTCCCATGTCCTAAGATTCCTCAAAACCATATTTTCAACGGCTGTATAATGACTACTCTACCACCTGGATGTACCGTAATTATTTGACCATTTTGTATGAGCTATTTTAGAAGCAAGCTCAAGTTGGACTTGTGTTTTACCTCGGTTGGAACTTCCTCTTTTCCTTCACCACTGTTGATTACTGGTTTTCAGAGGTGACGTTTCTGTGGCAGTGTGAGTGAAGCATGTGGGTTTTCAACTCAAAAAACAACTCAAAACCTGCTTCCTCCAGGTTGGGCTAGGGCTCTGGCCTCAGGCTGGCACTAGGGGGCGTGATGTTGCTGCTAAGTGTTGAGAGCTGGTGCCAGGCAAGATTGGGCAAACACTGTGCAGGCTTTAGAGGGGGTATGGGGAGAGGGCCAAGGAGTCCACGCCAAAGAAAGATGGGAAGTGGAAAATGGAGGTGAGAGTCAATAGAAGAAGCAAACTGTTTATCCCTTTCTGTTCTTCTCAACAGTTCCTCTCTGGGCATAAGTAGCACACTGCTGCCTTCTGGGTGGCCTGTTAGCATTTTATACGCAAGGGAAGGAACTTCACTCTAAACATCTTTGGCTGAATTGCACCAAGGAGAAGGAGAATTTTCTCTTTTTTCTTTTTTTTTTCTCCAGCAAGATGGATTTAGGTTAGACCCTAAAGGAGGTTTCCTCAGCTGCCTGGGGTAGATAGTACTATACAAAGTTCCCTGGGGATATGGTGGAGTTTTTTGAGCCTGGAGAGTTTTAAGAAAGAGAGACTGTAATCTTCCTGGGTTAGAGAAGATGACCTTTTAGAGTTCCACCTGGCATGAGGATTCTGTGGTATGAATTAGGGAGTACTCAAAAGTAGTCCCATATACCACCCTGAGCAGTGGGGTGAAAGCATTCTTTCCTGCTTCTCCTAAATACGTAACTACTAATTGACTAATTTGTAAAGACTGCTGGACTTGTCCCCATCCACGCTGTGCTACTCCCTCCAAGCAGCCACCCAAGGGAAAGAATTCCAGCTCTTTCCCCAGGAATTACAAAGAGAGGACTCTCCTGTAGCAGGTTGGGTGTTAGGCAAATGAAGCATCGAGAGCACGGCAACAGGCATGCCAGGCCTAACTGGCATCTCCTCTAGATGACTGGGTGCCCCTTCTCCATGCCTCCCTTCCTCAGTTCCCCAGGCACCCATCTCACCTGGAATAGGGCTACACTGGACACTGGGGTGTCCTCCATCCTCCAGTTGGAGCTCGTCCAGGTCCAGATCATCTGAGAGGAGAGACAAGAAAGTGGCCCTGGGCCCTGGGTCTTGGTGTCAGCCAGGACTCACCTTTCTCCAAACACCCACCCCATTGAGCAATTGTCCCTGACTAACTGCTCAATACTGGTCCAGCAGCCCTGCAGCCCCGCATCCATTTCTACCCTGAGAGGTAAACATTTGGTCAGTTATTATCCACATGTGGATTGTGTGTATTGCTGGTTCTTTATAAGAAATGTTTAATCGGCTCGGCGCCTATAGCTCAACCGGCTAAGGCGCCAGCCACGTACACCTAAGGTGGCGGGTTCGAGTCCCCAGCC